GGACGGGGCCCTTGGTACACGTGTGTGACAGTGTATCTGTGCTGTACATGCGTGTGCACACACACGAGGTGGACGGGGCCCTTGGTACACGTGTGCTTCAACACACAGCCGTCCAGGCAGTTGAACACGGTTTAGTCTCTCAGGAAGTCTCTAGCAGACAGTTCACATTGTAGCTAGGCCCCGTGCTGTGGGGTGTCTGGAGTCCCAGCTCCGGAGGAGGCCCGGGCAGGGGGAGGCGGGTCCAGAGGTCTGCGATCAGCAGGGGTGACACAGCAAGTCCATGACGTGATGCTCACGGACCGTGAGCAAGTCAGCATGCTACACAGTAAAGCCCACAGAGAACCAGAACCCCGGGGGGTCCCGGCCTCTCCTCCCCTCCTAGGAAGCTGATGTTCTCAGATTCCACCCACAAGCAAGATGGGGCCGTGTCTCTCCGCCAGCCTGGGCACAGTGCCCTCTGCTTGCTGATCAGGACAAGACTGCCTTACTTCTCAAGGCTGGATAGTATTCCACTGCACATGTGCTAAATAAGCTCTTGAACGACGGATACAAGACTGATGAACCAGGCATTTTCAGAGGGAAGGGATGGGAGCTGTCTCCTCCCATCTGCCCCTCCCACCCCACCCTGACAGAATAGCCGTGCCCACGCTTGACTGCTGGGCACCCCAAAATTTTGCTGGTACTAGGGTTCGAACTCAGGACCGTGTGCGTGCCAGGCAGGTGCTCTACCACTTTGGCCACGCTTGGCCCTTCTCACTTTTTTTTTTTTGCGTTGGGTCTCATGTTTAGCTGTGTCAGCTACAAGGGCCGCCCTCTTCCCGTGGCTTCTTCGTTTGGTGGCCAGAGGTTCATCTTAGGAAACACGCTTTTCTTGAAGTGACCTTTGTTCCCGTCCTGTTAAGTTTATACCCTGGGCAAAGGAAAAGATCCCAAGATTTTCTTGTGGATGGGGAGGTAAGACATAAATAAATAAATAAAAGGAGAACCAGGAAGCCGAATTTCCAAGCCAATCGACTGGGCACCTGGAGATGGAACCCAACTCCCGTTATCCAAGACCCACGGGTCCCAGAGGAGGCCGCTGGTCACCCAGTGCATTTGGGAGCAGGGCCTGAGGCAGAGCAGAAACGGAGATGGCACTGAGGAGACGTGGGCAGAAGACAGACAGTGACCCAAACCTTGGAGGGGGAACGGAGCCCACTGCCCGTCGCGCAAGGCTGGTGCTCGTCCACTCAGTGGGAACGAGATGGCTCCGTGCCAACCCCAAATTTCTGTTGAGCCCCAGTACCTGAGCAGGCCGGTGTTAGTTGGGTGTCCAGGAAGGTGTAGAGATGAGGTCATGGCTGCTGGGAAGTCGGCAGCCCTTCACCGTGTCCAGGTGAAGAATTCAGGCAAGAGTTGACTCATCAGGAAAGAGGATCTGGAAAGGAGAGCTAAAGACAAGATTAGAGACCTCTCTACCTCCCCAAGCCATATGCAAATAGGAGGCCATTCAGTCCCAGGAAATAGAGGAGCAGAAAAACCAACCAGCCGGCTCCTGTATTCCCTGAGGGCACGGGAAGGAAGGGGCTGGCTTAAAGACCAGGGCTGAACAAAGCAGGGGAAGTTCACACAGGCTTGTAAGTGGTAGAGTTCTCAGTCTGGGTGTGCTGTCACATCTTAACCCTGCGGGACCATCCAACATCCCCTGAATCCAGACTCTCCTGGAAGCCCCTTCCAGTTGGGGGAGGTGCACAGGGAGGCCAGCAGGTCCCCCCCCCCACACACACACGGGTTCTGTGTCAGGCCTGCCTTAAAATACATCTCCCCCAGGAAGGCTGGAAAGGCAGAGTCAGGTGGGAGGAAGCAAGATAGCCCAGGGGCTGTTCACATCTCTCCCTGCAGGGAAAAAGCAGCCCGGAGACTAGAGGTTGAAGGGCCAAGGCCAGTGCAGTTCAGCTGGACACCGTCCTGGCTGTGTAGGCCAGACTCTGTCATCCAGTGAGAGAATGCACGGTAAGGAGTCTTTAGTAGAAGGCCAGCACCATGGTGAGTGCCTGTAATCCCAGCTACTTGCGGAGGCTGAGACTACAGCCAGACCCCATCTCAACCAACCAGCCAGGTGTGCTGGTGCCGGCCTGTTACCCCAGTGAGGCAGGAGGTCTTAGATAGGAGATTGTGGTCTGTGAGTGCTATGTGGTCCAGTCTGGACTTGAACTCCTGGAATCAAGCAATGCTCTGGTCTCTAGTAGTCAAGACCATAGGCGGGAACAAACATGCCCAGGAGCTGTTGGCCTGGCTGAGAGGCAGGAAGGAGAGGTGACCAGCGTGGACACAAAGGCACCTCCTAGCTCGGAACAAGAGTCATCTTCAGGACTTCTAGACTTGCTCGCTGGCCTGGGCCCCTCCCCTGCTGCCCCCCTTCCTCCCCCTCCCCTCCTCGAGAAACACAATTGACAGTGGAGAGAAAGAAGACAGGATTTGCGGGCAGATGGGCTCGCTGTGTGTGTGTGAGCGGGGGCCATTCATCTCACATTTCCGGGCTGGCTTCCAGAAGATTCCAGAGGGACACCTGCGTGACTCCCAGGGGGACACTGCTAATGGGCTCTTCAGCGTCTCCCACAGCGACGGCACTGTTGGCGGTTCACCAGTGGCTCGTTTCCACGGAGACCTTCCCAGCCCGGCCGGAAGCCACGCTGGGAACGCAGGCTGGCCTGGGGCTGGCGCGGCCCGCAGGGAGGCGGCCAGGGCTCTGCTCTCGGCAGCCGCACGAGGCCTCGCTGACCTCAGCCGTGGCGTGAGGATCGAGGTGTTCCTTGGGCCCGAGATCCAGCTCGCCAGAGGGACCACAGGCAGAGCAAGGAGCGGCTGTCGGCTGAGAAGGAATTGTTAGATTCCCCCTCCCCCCCCCCCCCCCCCCGTGCTCGCTGCCTCTCTGCAGGCTGCATTTTTCTTTTTGTGTGTGTGTGTGCCAGTACTGGGGTTTGAACTCAGGGTTCCATGCTTCTGAACCTTTTCTGCTCAAGGCTGGTGCTCTACCACTTGAGCCACAGCTCCGCTCTGGCTTTTTGCTGCCGAATTGGAGATAAGAATCTCCACCGACTTTTCTGCCCAGACTAGCTCTGAACCATGATATTCCTGAGTAACTAGGATTACAGGTGAGAGCCACAGGTGCCCACCGGGGGCTTACTTTTCTAACCATAGAGGCCCCACGAAGCCAGACCACAGCCAGAGACAGATCTGAAAGGAGAAAATGCTGTGAGGTTTAGGTCCTCCGCTCCTGGCTAACATCCCAGCCACTCAGGAGGCTGAGATCTGAGGATCGCGGTTCAAAGCCAGCCTGGGCAGCAAAGTCTGGGAGACTCTTTTTTTTTTTTTTTTGTCAGTTATGGGGCTTGAACTCTGGGTCTGGCGCTGTCCCTGCGCTCTTCAGCTCAAGGTGAGTGCTCTACTGCTTGAGCCACAGCGCCACTTCCAGTTTTTGAGTGGGTTTT